CAGGAGCTATTGATTGGGGTTATTTTTTTTTTCCCCCTTTTTTCTCACATGGTAACTGTCTGTGGCTTTTTGAAGCCACTGCTCTTCCGCTTCCTAGGATCCAAGGAGGATCCTGCCCTGGGCTGGCCCACGGTTCTACCTGGGCCGTGTGGCACACCTCCCAGCCGGCACCCAGCCCCCAGCCCGTGAGCCCGAGAATGCCACCTGACAGCTCCAGATCTCCCTATGGAGCCATATGTCAGAACCGAGGAATGTTAAGGCCAGAAGGGCCACCAGAGAGGTTGGGCCACTTGGCTGAGGACACACAGCTACTGAGGGGCAGGGGCAGGCCTCCTGCTTTTGGGCTCCGGGCCTGAGCTATCTCCACTGCCCCCAGCCTTTGGTGGCCCAGCATTAATGTGACTTCTCCAAAACCATCCCAGCCCATCCCAGCGCACAGGTGGAATGCCTGCCCATCCAGGGCAGCCCCTTCTGTGCTGGGCTGAGGGAGAGACACCCTCACCTCATCCCTGGAAACACTCCCTCCTGCTGCTGATGCCCAAGGCCAGCCCTGGGCCAGTCTGGGTTCCAGGAGCATTGTGGGTAGCCCACGGGGAAGCCTTGTGTTGATGCTGGGGGTCCCTCTGGGGCAGGGAAGGGCCAGTGCCCAGGAGAGTCCACGCAAGAACGGGTGACTGCGTGGCAGAGTGTCTCATTGGCAGGGGCCAGAAGTGGGAGAGCTGGGATCTGGCCTCTTTGACCTGGAGAGGTGGGGGAAATGGGGGCCTCAGGCCTGCACCCAGCACCCCTTCCACTGCCAGTCTCAAGTAGGTATGCTGCTCAGTCTTCTGCAGCCTGGACACCAGGTGGCGCTCTCAACCCTCTCCTACGACGTTCCCGGCCCCCTGCTGGGAAAAGTGGCCAAAGCCTGGGGCGGCCCACCCAGGGAGAGCCAGAGAGGCCAGCATCCCCAGCCTCCAGCACTAAGCCCCTCTCTGGCTCAGGGCAGTCTCTGAGCTCCTCCAACTCTGAGCCCTCCTCCCCCATTTTTCTATCTCTGCAGCCATTCTCATTCGTGTCCCCGACCTCCCATCCCTGCCCCGCCCCCCCCATCCCTGGGGATCCTGAGATTTCCTTGTTTCCCCACCAGAACTCCCTGTCCCTGGGGTGACACTAACATGCTCAGGCCTGGTTTCGAAACTCGGGGCTCCAGAAACCTGTCCACAAGTAAATGACAGAAAAAGCCCTCCCTCCGCTGCCCTCTGGGGCTCCCCGCCTGCCTGGCCACTTCTCAGATGCATCCTACACTGAAAATGTTTGAAAAACTGTGCTCCCTTCTGCCTAGAACAGAAAGTCACATGGGAGAGGGTCAGGGGTCAGAACTGCTGGCCCCCATGCTGGATGCCAGCTGAGGAAGGCAAGGAACATCCGGGGGTCCCCTCCGCCCCCGCCCCGAGAGGCTTCCTCCTCCCGCTGCCATCCTGACACAGTGGTCCCCAAAAGCCGGGCATGCCGGAATCCAGAATCTGCATGTTCACCAAACACGTGGGGCAGGGGCGCAGACCACCCTCTGCCCCCAGGAGCAGTGCAGCCTGGAAGGCCTGCGTCCCGTCCCGTCCCCGTCCCTTCCTCCGGCTGACGTTCCTTTCTGCTCCTCTCTGTTCCCTCAGGGAGGAGTGAAGGTTCTCATCACAGGCCCATGGCAAGAAGCCAGCAATAACTACAGCTGCCTGTTTGACCAGATCTCAGTGCCTGCGTCCTTGATTCAGCCCGGGGTCCTACGCTGCTACTGCCCAGGTGAGGAGGCGGTGCCCCTACCGAGGGGGTGGGCCCCCCCTCCCCGAGCGCCGGGTGCAGGGGCAGCCTGGGAGCGACGCTGGACAAGTCACGTCACTACTCTGGGCCTCGCTTTCCTCTGCCGTGATGAAGGGGTCCCGGATCCACTAGTCTAATGTCATCGGTTGAGGATCAAAGGGGTATGAAGCCTGCTCAGCTGGGATTTTGAAGTTCATGAACATGATGGGGGTTGCTGGGACAACCAATGAGCTGGGTTGACACACCCAGGACTGGGCACAGCAGGAGACCAGAGCCACCCTCAGCCTGAAAGTTTCCAGGAGCTGGTGGTAAGAGCCGGGCAGGTGGAGGGGCCTGACGGGGGCCACACCCGAGGTCAGAGCAGCCAGGCAGCTCTCTCTCCTCTGGCCCGTGCCTCTCGCAGCTCCCGCCAACCAGAAGCCACAAGAATGAGAGAGCCCAAGCTGTGTGGTCCACACAGCCAGTCTCGCAGGGCACTGAGCAGATCAGAGAGGGATGGAGAAGGCCTGGCGGGCAGCAGGGGAGGACCTGTCAAACTGATAATAATCTGCACGGACTCCCTTGAGAAAGTGAAGCCATCTGCCCTGCCCCCGGAAAAAGGTGCAGGCACAGAATTTTCTTCCGGTTTCAGGGGCAGGAGCGCCTCTGCCCTCCCTGTGGCTCTGACCTTCTCCGTCCCTCACTCGGCTTCATCGTCATCTACTGGGCTTGACGTCCCTGTCTGGTCAACTTCTTGACCTCTGGCCATTGCTATCTCCCCGCTTGCCCACCAGCTCCATTTGTCAGGGTCTGTGTCTTTCCTGGTCACCGTGTGGCCCCAGGGCCTACAAGTGTCTGACATGTCACAAGAAGGAGATCAGTATTTGTGAAGGAATCCGTTTCTAGAGCTCCTGTTTTCTGACCTCTGTGCTGGTTCTGGGAAGACCCGTTGGCTGACACGAGCTCGGGGACGGCCTGTCCAGGTTGCCCAGGCAGTGAATGGAGAGAGAGAGACCATATTATCTGAAGCCAAGGGATCTACAGAAGGACAGAGTGCTCCCTGTGGAGGCCCAAGGTTAGAGAGAGAAGTGAGGACAGGGGCCTTGGGCCACCCCAGCTGTCTGTCTCCCCCCACACCATCCCCCCAGCCTGGAGCTTCTGAGTCCACATGGAACATTCTTCTTCTCTCTCTCCATTCCCTGTGCAGCCAGCCAGGCCAGAATGCTCCAGGACTGGGTTCCCATGCTCGGCCCTCCCCTACCCCACTCCCTGAACCCAGCACCTCCTTCACCACAAATATCCCAGGGAGCCAGGGATGCTGCCCAAGTTGGCCTCCCCCTGTTGGCCCTGCTCCAGGGGACCCATTCAGCCCCCTTTGCTCCCAGCAGCCTTGCTTGTTCTGGAACACAGCCATCAGGATGCCAGCCCAGACTGGGTCAGCCTATCACAGCTCAGTGCCGCACGGCTAATGCAGCCATCACTCCCCGCCCCCCCCCCCCAACCTCTACCCCAGGGTGGGGGTGGGTAGGGGGACAGGGCAGCGTGTTATTACACTGTCCACTTACCACCTGCTGCTGGAACAGGACTTGCCCGGCCTCTAAATAGAAGCCACTTCCTGTACCTGGCTCTTGCCTGGCTGAGGACCCAGACCTTGCCTGTCCTAGGTTATCTGACCCCTCCACAGAAAAGGCTGGCCTTTGCACGCCCTCTGGCTTCTGTCCCAGGCCATGACCTGGCGAATCCCGGGTGCTGGATCCGTCACACCACAGCACATCCCGGATCAGCCAGTTACCACTTGGTGACTTTAGCTCTCAGTCCTTGACCTCTCTGGGCCTCGGCTTCTACATCTGAAAAACCAGCTGCCAGATGGGTAAGAGCAGAGTTGAAGGACGGTCCATAAAGCACTTGGTTCACAGGCTCAATTCGTGAAGGGGCTCCACTAGCGAAGCCTTAGCTCCTTCTGCTTCGAGGGGAAGAGGGGATCCACTCTGTTCCATCTCTCAGCAGGCGGCTGTCCTGGTCCCTGAGCATTCCTGGGTCCCGAAAGCTGGCAGCCACCGTGTCTCCCAGTGGTTCAGGATCCTCTAACATAGCACATCTTGGACCCAGGGGGGAGAAGCCACAGGTTCAGGCAGAGACTGGGAGCCAAGGCCTCGCTGCTAGAGCACCGACTTGTTCTGCAGCTGACCACAAAGAGAGGGTCCCCCTTGGACATGTCTGCTTTAAGGCCCAAATTAAAACCCGTCACCCTGTAAGACGGTGCTGGATGTACGCATGCATTCCTTCACGCACCGAATCGTTCACCAGGCGCTGGTACACATCTAGAATGGAGCAAAACTCAAGACTCAGCCCCTTGGCCCAACTCCGTCCCCAAGGGGCAATCAGTCCAGGGAGGAGTCAGTCACACAAACAAGCCACTGCCCTGGGGGGTGATACTGGCTGCTCGGAGACCTCTTCCCTGAGTCTTCAAGGGAGCAGGGAAATGAGCTGATCTGGAAGAAGGGACACCTAAAGGCAGAGCCAAGCTGGCCTCGCCCAAAACAAGGGCCCAGAGGCCTGTGAGCACAAGCCAAGCGACCTCAGGAGCTGGGAATGACATGGGAAGAAGGGATACAGGGAGTGCATGTGGCCACTAGTCACCAGCCTGACACCCGACGAGGAGACTGGACCCTGACCAGGAGCACGGTCCCCCACTGTCACTGGCCACAGATGACACACAGCACGGAGTCTGTCTCCTACAAGATGGCAGTCGTGCTCCAAGAGCAGGAGAGAGACAACCAAGTCAGGGCACTGAGCCCAGGGTGAAGGGGTGGTGAAGGGGACTTCAGGAAAGCTCCTCCCCCCCCCCCCCTTGGGCTCAGGAGGAGACAGCAGTAGCCACCAACCAGAAGACTTGTTTTGGCCACAGCCCCACCCCGGGTTCCTGGGCAGTCACCAAAGGCAAAGGGTGAAATTCAATATGAGGTGGGCAAGGGCACTGAGATTTGAAGCAATTCATTCAACAAACGGTTGAGTGGCCACCCCATGCATGCCGGGTACTGACCTTGGCCCCGGGCATGAAGACATGATCAGGACAGACCTGTGCCCCACTCTCACGGAGCTTACATTTTACTGCCGGAGACAGAAAGAAACAAGGAGGCAAAGAAATAGCGGGGCAAGTTGGGGGGGATATGGGTGGGGTGGGAGAATTGAACATGGCAGGGTTGGAGAAGATGGCAGGGACCAATGTCCGTCCTTCTGAGGGACCCAGGATGTCTGTCCTTCTGAGTCATGGGAAGGAGTTTGATTTGGTTTTATTTGCAATAGGAAGCCATTAGTTTTAAGGAGGGAAGCGAAGTGATCTAAATTATGTCTTTCAAAGATGATTCTGGGTGTGGGAGAACAGATTGTAGGAAGGAAGAACAGAAACAGGGAAACCGGAGGAAGCAGGCAGAGGGGTGATCTTTCCTGACTTAAGGAGGAGAGCTCCCCGGGCAACATATTCCCGTCAGTTTCACGTAGGAGCTTTGGAATGTGGCCCCCCAACCCCATCCCAGCAGGAAACAGGTAGGTCTCCAGTATACTGTGCTTGCCCTCAGCAGGTGGCTAATGCAGGAGTCTAGGCGAGAGATGATGGCAGCTTGGACCACAGTGGTGGCAGTGGAGACAGAGAAGTGGAGGGACCGGGACTCGCCTATGGACTCAAGGAGGGGGAGGGAGAAGGCCAAGGAAGTGTCCCTGTGTGCACCACGCTGCTGGTCTGGGACCCAGGAGACTATGCAAGGTCCTCTGTCTGTCTCTCTGGGGAAGGATGGGATGCTTTCAATCAGCCACATTCCAGCATCACTGCAGGCTGTACAAGTGCTGGGAGGTGCTGGACAAGAGGGGCACCCTCGGCCCAGAACACGTGTCACAGAGCAGCCTTGGGCTCCCCAGCGCCAGCCGAGGCCAGGTGGCTTGCTACCGAGCGCAGAGCTGAGCGGGCTCAGATGGGGTGTGTGCTGTCCTTTCTTCCTGTTGGTAAACCAGGCAAATCTCTAGGGAAGATGAGTGACCATGAACTTGGAAGTCGGCCTGGGGACACTATCAAGGCCTCAGGAGGTTCTGGACTTGGCTGGGAACCCCTTGTCCAGAGAGACACCACAGGAGGTCCCCTGGAACCCCCACCCTCCATGGAGCCAGTTGGCTCAGCTTGTAGTCTGGAGCTGAGAGACCACCCCAGGGTGGAAGCAGAGGGGAAAAACCCACTTGTCACCCTTGGGCAGTGACTTCCTGAAGACCCTCGCTCTGGGGACAGTGGCATAATACAAACCTGGGATGAACAGAGGCCACAGGTCAATGACTTGGTTTTCCCCTGGGAAGTAAGGTCTGCATTTACTCTGCCCTGGGGAGCAGCTGACTTGGACAGCTTTCTCGAGTCTGTAAGCTTCTGAAAGCCAAGAGCCCAAACAGTAACACAATCCCTATGTGCGTCCTCCCTGGAAATCTGTCCCGGGGAGGCCCTGGGCACTGGTATCTGGTGTTCCAAAAAAGCAGGGCAGGGAGCACACAACCCTGATGTCTACCGGGGGACGAGACCTGGCGGGGTAGAGCAGACTGCATACCTACTCTGACCCCCGGGGCCATCTCGGTGGGCCACAGCCCCCCCTATTTCAACAGGAGCCACACAAAGCCTTAACCCCAGACGTGAAGCAGGTTTCTGCCGGGGGTGGGCTCTCTTCTTGCTGACGGTACAAATGTCCCAGTCGTTATACATCCAATAAATACATTGAGCCCTGTGTTGGGGACAGAGCAGTGAATGAGCCCCACAGGGGCCTGTCTTCCCAAAGGCCACTGTCTAGGCATTGGAGGGGAGGTGCAAGCTTCAGGCTGGCACTCCCAGCTTGGCACCCGTGGGCCCAGAGTCACAGGCACAGATGAACCTCCTGCTCTCATCAGGGAGGCAGAGGAAGTTCTGAAAATACTTGGAAGGCCATGCTAAGTGCCTCAGGACAAGCTGGTAGAATAAGATGAAAGGGGGAAATAAAAACACAAAGACTCCAAAGCAAATGCTTTCCCAGGATCCCATCTAGGATGGATGAGATGGGGGAGAAGTCAGGCAGCCATGGGACAGGGTTGGGGACCATTCATCCACTCACTCAGCAAATCTGCACTGAGTTCCCGGTACCTGCCCTCGCCGGGTGCAGGAGCGATCGCGGGGCTCCTGGCTGAGTCTGGGGTCTAGAGAAGGTTCCCGGAAGAAGAAGCACTACATCTAGGCCTTGAGGAATGAGCAGGCGGAGGCTGGGGTTACCCCGTGAAGGGGAGTGGGGAGGGGGCACTCCAGGTTCTTGTGTGGTACGTCAAGTTGAAGGGCGCCCATCCCCGCCCCTCGCCCTGACCTCTCTTTCTTTTGCTTTCAGCCCATGACACTGGTCTTGTGACCCTACAAGTTGCCTTCAACAACCAGATCATCTCCAACTCAGTGGTGTTTGAGTACAAAGCCCGGGCCCTGCCCACGCTCCCTTCCTCCCAGCATGACTGGCTGTCATTGGACGGTAAGAACAGCGCTCGGGTCACCTTACCAGGTGCTGAGGAAGAGGGGCACTTGGGGACCCTGTGCACAGGGTGTGAAAAAGAAGGAAACATTTGGATTCCCTTACTTTTGCTTGGAGTGAAAGTCTCCACCACGGAAGGACCCACTGAGTCCCTGCCCTTAACCTTGATCTCTCCCCTGGCACAGAATGAAGTTTGTGAGTTTGGGCCTTCGGCTGTCACTCCTGCCAGGGGATGTGAGTGGCCAGACAAGCCCCCGAGTTGCTAAGAGGTTCCTCTCTGGACAGACCTTGAGCAGTGGGGTCTGTCCATCCTCTGCCACTGCCCCCCCCCAAGCCAATTTCTAGGATGTCCTTGAAGAGAGAGCCCCCAGAGGCCGTCACCAAGCCCCGAGCCTCTAAGAGATGAAAGCAATGTGGGAAGCTGGGTGGAGGGAGGGAGCTCTGGTTTGGCTCCTTTCCTGATCTAAGGCCTGGACAGGACGGCTTTGCGGGGGCGGGGGCGGGGGAGGGGGCGGGAGAGGGTGCTGTGTATTAAGTGCTTTTGCTTTTTATGGGTAACAAACCAAACCTCATGGAAAGCCCTCAAACACCTGTCACCCCCTGCTTCTAGGCTGTTTTTACTTTAGCCTGTGCCCTGTAGAGCATCTGAAACAAGCCCAGGATCATCCTCATGGCTGAGGGTGGAGGGCCAGAGAGCCCCAAAAGGCTCAAATGGAGGAGACAGGACCTGCTGTCCAAGCACGGCTCTCTGAGAGCCACCGGCCTTGAACATGAGTGAGTGTTGGTACCAGAGCCTCTGCAGAGAAGAGCTGCCAAAGACAGGTGGGGGGTGCTAAGGTCAGAGGCTGCCCTTCCCAGCCTGGGCATGCCCAGCAGAAGCCCCGGAAGTGGCGTGGGGAGCCGAACTGGCAGTCTGCTCTCTGCCCCCAGACAGAGTGGGAGGAATTGCTGCCCACGCATCAGTATCAGGGTGGCTGGCGGAAGGGCCTGTCCGTGGGGTGCTGGCCAAAGACCTCCATCAGCCTGTGGTGTGGGCCTTGCCCAAGCTGATCCTGGGCCCTCTGTAAGCACCTCTCTCCTGTGCACAGCAGCCCTTGGCCTTCTCACCTCCCAGATTTCCCCTTGCTGCTGGCTGCCGGGGGATTTCTGGGCTTGGGCACGTGCCCTGGGCAGCTTTCCTGAACCCAGTGTGCAAATATCAGCCTCATCCCAGCCCGGCTCCAGCAATGACAGGGTGCCTGGCGGCCACCCTGGCCACCGAACCTTCTGAGCTGTTCCCAGAGGTGGCCTTGGGTCAGCAGGCATCTGCACCCTGGCAGTAGCCGTGTGGGAGCACCGGGCTGGCCTTGGCAGCCACCCTGGGCAAGACTGGAGCCAGCCAGAGCTGTGACGATGTCCTGCAGGATGTAACAGAGAAGGGCAGGGTGACCAGGGGCTCCCGTTCAGGAAATCCGGTTTCAGCCTTGCAGAACAAATGGGAAGTGGAACAGGCTAGTCTGCAGAGTCCTGGCTCTCCCTGAGTGACCAGGTCACCTCGCCAGGACAGGCCGAAGGATACTGGGACCAGCGCAGGACCTGCCTGGGAGCTGGAGCCCTTCAGAGAGCCAAGTCTCAGCCAGGCGGTACCTCGGAGCGCAGGAGACATCAGCCAGCCCCCCGGAAGCCAGAGAGCAAGCTGTAGCAGGGAGGCTGTGAGGCAGACCATGGGCAAGGAGAATCATCTTTGTCTCATTACAGACACACTTCTGAGCCCTCCGCCACACCAGGTCCCTTGGGCGATGAGCCTGCTACCAAGCTGGACACCTGCTCCCCAGCAGCCCCCTCCAGAGGGGACCTGGAGCTCTGACCTCCACAGGCCTCCAGTTGAGATAAGCATCCTTCAGGCCCTGGAGAGATGGCAGGAGTTGGGGGAAGGACGTGGCAGGCCCACCCCGGCCCAGAGAACAGATCAGGGCCCCCGCAAGACCTCAGGAATCCCTCTCCCTTTGGTCTCGACCAGGTGTCCTTTCAAGTAATAGGAAGGGAGGGGTGGCCACTGCAGAGGAACCGTAAGACCCCTTCCCTAAACGAGTACAAGTGCCTTATCCACGGAAGGAAAATTTTCCCAGCATTTCACCAGCCTGATAAATAATAACCGTGTGGGAGGTGGGGGGGGGGGGAACAGAACCGCAGCCGCAGCGCGAGGGCTTAATCTGCCCAGTGCAAAGGGGACAGCTGGGACAGCCCCAGGGGGTGGAAGTGGTTCTGGCTGCCTGACCTCGCGGCCTGGCAGAGCAGAACTACAGAAGAGGCAGGGGCCAGGCTGGTGGTGTCTTCTCCCGCGCTTCTCCCCTCCTGCCCCCCGGTGGTTTGCCGGGCAGGATCGCCCCTGGAGTTGCTGTGGGACGAGAGCTGCGGCGGCGAGGGGGAGGAGAGAGAGTAAAGGGGGAGGGGCGATGATCCGCAGCGCCGAGTAACTGGGCGTGGCGAAGCCGGGCGGCGCGGGCAGGCACACACGCGCGCATGCCCACGCACGCACACGCGCATCGCCTGTCTGCCCGCCCGCCCTGCCGGCCTCCGCAGGCAATGGTGGGTGCTTACCGGGCCGGTGGGGTCGCCCCGCCTCCCCCTCTGCGCTCGGGACTGGTGTGGTGAGCCCTGCGTTTCTCTCAGGCCTTGCAGTGGGACTGAGGTGTGGGAGCCCTTCTGTGGCTGTGCCTGCGCGCGGTTGTTTTCTCTGGCACCCTGCTCGCCCTCTGCTCCCTGATCGGGGAAGCTTTTGCTCCCCCTCCCTATATCCCAGAAAGTGGGGAGAAATGTTTGGGAAGAGGATTTTCAGGCCATTTATTTTTAAATTTGTTTTTACAGATCTAAAGGCCGTGAAGCTTTCTCCTGAGCGTGGAGCGCAGCGAACCCGCATAAGTGAGGCATATGGCAAAGCAGCTCTTTTTGTTCGTCTGGCCCTGTCGGGGGCGATCAACTTTGACGACAGGTGCTTGGGCACCTAGTCCCCAAAATCCCAGCTGAGCGCAGCCCTCACCCGACGCGGAGATCGCGGAAGGAGGGAGAAGGGGGGGGGGGGTGCGCGCTGTCGCCGCCACTTAGCTGGCTCGGGGCAGACTTTAGGAAGCGCATCACGTGGGTCCCAGGAGCTGCAGCTCCTCCCCCAGATCTAGGGGGCTTCTCCTCCCTTACCCACCCCCCCAGCCGGGTCTGCCTGGACCCCCACTGCCTAGCGCGGGCTGGCAGGTTGCAGGCCGCAGTATGTAACTGTGCTATAAACTCATGTGTGAGTAAATGAGTGCCCACCGGACACATCAAAAGAGTTTAATCCAGCCCAGTGGTCAGGAAGGCTTCCCAGACCTAAGACATCAAATCTGAGCAGGCATCCGCTAAGCCGAGAGGGATGAAAAGGAGTATCTTGGGGCGGGGCGCAGCGAGCGCTGAGGGGATGAATGACACCGTGGCTGCCTCCGGCCAGGCTACTCTGGGAGCTACCATTTTCACCATTTCACGCCAAAGGTGCAAATCCAGAACAGGTTTCCCCATGCCTGACCCCAGGCCGTTTGCAAGGAGACCCCAGAATGGTCTGGGGCAAGCCAGCTGTGTATTTGGGAAGACAATGGCACCTCTTCCAGGCTAGAGACAGTGAGGCAGTGAGTTTACCCTGGAGACATTTTGGGAGGGGCTCTGGGAAATGTCTCTCCTGCCCGCTGCGGGTCCTGGAGATACACACAGCCAGGGCTCTGCCGTGCACGGGGAGGATGTGCAGTCCGTTTAGATGGTCTGGCCTGTGCCTGTGTTTGCGAAGAGAATAAACCCAGGCCACTTGACACTGCGGCTCTGGAGCTGGGGGGGGTGGGGCTCACATCTAACCAAGGGCACTGGGACACCTTTAAGTGACTCCTGTCCCTGGAAGAGGAGATGAGTAGAACTTCTGGGTGCCCTGTTCTTTCTCTTGCCCTGTTCTTCCTCCCCAAGGCCAGGTCGAGAAGCCCCCGCGGTCCCTCCGGCCCCACGGCAACCCCAGCGGCCCCCTTCTTGGAAGCCCACTAAGCCGCTTACACATAGACTCTATTTTCAGTTGCTCCTCAGGCAGCTGAGCCTCTGCCTGGGCAAGAGGATTGGGGGGAGGCCCGGATGCAGCTTTCTGGGGCTCATCAGCTGGCCATCTGGGCAGGCCTCCTGCTGACCCTCGGGGGCAGGAGAGGGACCCTGTCCTCTCCAGCAGGGTGGGGAGCAGGGGCTAGAGCTGTCTTTATCATCTTCCTGCATAGGAAGACTCGGGGCAAGGTGGACACTCCCCAGGGCCCAGGGGGCCATCCAGGAGGCCGACCCCCAGGGCAGCCTGCCTCGGGTCAGATGTCTGGGAAGACTGGGAGGGAGCAGTAGGGAGAGGTCCTCCCTAATGAGGAGGTGGAGAGAAGGAAAAGTGAGATTTGATCTCGGGGTTTGGCTTTCTGCTCTGACCAAACCCTCTATGCTAACAGACGGAAGAAGGAAGACGCGTGGCTGGGGTGGTCCCAAGCCCCGCCTCCCACCTCTAGGCTGCCTGTCCCCCACATGTGGCCATGGTCCTGCCAGCCTTTCCCCTGAGAGCTGGTTTCTAAAGGCAGCCTCCCCCCACCAGGAGCCAGAGGCCATACACTGACCTAGAGACCATAGGGGGTAGCCCAGTGGCAACAGGCCGGCCATTCCAGCTGCGAGACTGCCCCCCCCCCGCCCCCGCAAGCCTCTGGATGTTTTTTTCCCTCCCCTAGTGATACTCCAGGGTGTCAGCTGCTCCTGGCCCCACTCCCTCCCTCCTAGAGACTCACAGCCCACCTCCCAGTCACCCTCTCCTGTGCCTATTGTGTGACGCTGAACTGTCCACATGAGAGAACATGCCCAGAGCCAAACCATTATTTAAATAAGTAATTTGGGTGTAAATAATTGAAAATGTCACAGTTTTACTAAAAGTAAGTTTTACTAAAAATTTTATGGAGTAGGATACAAAATTCACGTGCGTTTTTAAGCGATGA